TCTTTTTTGCATCATCCAAGAACCTGTAATAATCCACAGGAAAAGGAGCAAAACTGATCTTGTTGAATAGTTTGAAAGTAAAAATCCCACATCTGAGAAGAATAAGGAAATAAAGTGATTTGTATATGTTTACATTTTGTCCACAAAGAATCATGAAAAGTTAGAATGCAAGACTTGTAAACTTTGAGTTTAGGGCAAAATTTTATTTTTTTTAAATTAATTTCAAAATTTTAATTTATTTTAATTAATTTTTTGAAATTTAAAAGACATGTATGAAATTTTAAATACAATTTTTGACAACAAAAGGCAACTTTTTTGAAATGGTATCTTTTTGTAATGATACATTTATCTGGTAAGTGTAGAAATATACTCCTCAATTGATATTCATTCGGACAATATAAATTCCTTTGATAGAATTCATATTCTATACTTAATTTTGAGAGTTTTTGAATTTTATTGTATTTTATAAAATTTTTGAATCATTAAAAAAAATGAGATCACATCTTAAAACTTTCCTATTCTACTATTTTCTTTATCTTTTCTTAACAATGCCAACCAGCATCTGGGCACATAAAATTTATTTTCCTGGCTTAAGTAACTGAAATTTAAAAATGGACAAAAATATTGACCATTTTCCTCTATGAAGTGCAATAAAAAAAAAAAAAGGATTTTAGATTTTAGAATTGACTGGAATTGAATTCAAGTCAATGAACTCTTACACTTGATCAATGAACAGTTAGACCACATGACTGAGAGTTCTACGCTGGACCATTTTTTTAGCTTATATTATGTATTTTGTTCCATTTTTAACTACTTCCCCTTTACCCCTTTTAAATTCCAACTAAACAGGACCGTTTGACGAAGTAACATACATACAACACAACAATCAGAACCCCCTGCCAAAATACTCTTCTAAGGTTGTAGTGTATACAGATCCATTGCTTTGTACGTCTCCCTTTGCATCGCTTTCATGCCATAAAAGATTCGGCCTTTTATTCTCACATAAGCATTAAACCTCTCCTTTATAACGCCAACATGGTAAGCAAACCCTTCCATGTGCCTTGATATGATCTAAAAACCCCTTTTTTTCTTAAATCTTCTTCGCCAGCTTTAGATTGTTCTTTGTTTGTGTCTGGATCACCAGCTACAAAGTAATAAAAGGTTGATCTCGATTTTCCCAGAAAGGAAACTGCAGGATGAGCCAGGAACAGGGAAGGAAAGAAAGCAAGCTGAGAAAATACCTGAAAGCACCCATTAGGATCCTGATAAAGGCCAAGAATTTTTACATAAAGGGCATGAGTGAATGCTCCGAACGGATCACTTACGGCACTGTCATGGGCTGCCCTACCGGCCATGTCAACACTCTGCCTCGGAGCTTCAGCGTCAGCTCAACAAAATCGAGCACCGGTGATGATGACTTGAGGGAGCTTATCAGGGCTGCCTCTACCAGGAGTTCAGGAAACAGGATTGAGGCAGACTTTCTTCGGAGACAGCAGGGGAGACAATCCCCCAACACGAACTCGTATATTGTTCCCAGGAGTAAAAGCATCGGAATTGGGAGGATTGATGAAGACAAGACATGTGAGTTTGAAGAAGATATTAAGGTTAAGACCAATGTCTTCCCAAGAAGCAGGAGTTATGCTGTTGGAAAGCGTGGAGGGACGGTGTTCTAAACAGGTGTTGTAACAATTGTCTACAACTACAACGGCCTCTGTTTTTACCTCCTCTGCTTTTTCTGTCTCCTTTTTTTTGGCCACCAACTCTGCTTTTTCTTCCTTTCTCAATTTCATAGTATGTATGGTCTTTTGGCTGGTTTTTGTCGTTTTACTACAAAATGTTTGGAACTACTTAGAGTCTTCATTGTTGTTCATAGATGAAATGGTGAATATATATTTGTTTTCTTTTGTTCTAGACTCTTGTACTTGATTTAACCATTACAAATTTGGAACAAGGAAAATCGAACTGAAGACCAACCTAAGGGAAAGATGCACCTTCAACCAATTAGACTAGGAGACCAAGTGCTGGTATTTGCATTTTGATGACAAGCCAGGAAGCTCGTTTACTTGTCATCCTTAAGTTATGTTTGGTAACATAGAAAATAAAGATTTGGTTAAATCTCTAATTTGTCTCTCAACTATTATATGAACTCTTAAATTGGTTTTTGAACTAAAAAATCTTTGATTTGGTACCTAAAATTTTAAATTTGACTGGAAATTGGTCTCTCTATTAAAAATTAATTAACATATTTATTACTTAATGACCACATATCAGGTTAATAATATGACGCATTAATTATTTTTTTAATGGAATGACCAATTTAAAATTAAATTTAAAAATTTTAGAGACTAAATCAATTTTTTTTAATTCAAAAACTAATTAAAAAATCAGTGCAATAGTTGAGGGATTAAGTTAGAAGTTTATCCTAAAGATTTTGACCAAGACTAGTGGAATGGGATATTCTTGTTGAAATTCTCTCAGGAACTTTACTCTTAAGGGTGAAAAATAAAGATTTTGACCAGAATCATGTCGAATGGGATATTCCTGTAGAAATTCTCCCAGAAACTTTACTCTCAAAAGGGTCATGATCAACAATATTGCTTTCTTAGCAGAAGAGAATCTCTACTTTCTTGGGGCATTTCTTTTCTAGTCCAATAATGTAACATAAAGTTTACCGTAACCTCTTTCCTGCAGTTGAAGTGCTTTCCCCTTCCAGTTCCAGAGCAACCTGGTCTTTGGGAGCGTTTTTTTTCTTTTTTTTTTCTTTCTTTCATTTTTTTTTTTATTGTAGAACCTGATTGCAGCTTAGTCATGAAAAAAAAAACACACACACACAGGGTTCATGCTGATGTGCTCTATGCCACTATGACTAGGAGGGAAAGAAAGCAAAAAAAGAAAGAAAGAAGACTGGCCTAGTTAATAAATTACTCAGAGCCACAGCCATCCAATCTATTTGTCTATATGCCCCTTTCTCGCAAAAGGTCAATAAAAAGAAGGCCAATATAAAGATCCAAAGTCCCAACTTTAGCACTCTATGATCTTCTATCAATGGAACACCAAATAGCAAAAGTTTATTGTTGTTTGCCAATTGGAGCAGAATGGATTGCCATCAAGTAGGGTGTTACTTTATTATTATTATTGTTATTATTTAATTTTATTGATGATGGTGGGAACAACATTTGTACCCCAATTATTTTGGTGTAGGACTTTTTTTATTATCCAAGTATATGTATGCGTAAGTGCCATTTTATTTTGTAGGTTTATTTAGTCCCTACTATAAGACTGTAGAAGGAAAAAAAAACGAAAATGAGTTGGTTTAAAGTCTTTTTTTTTTTTTTTTGTAAGAATGATGTTTTATAGATTGATTTAAATTAAATTGTAACATCTTAACTTTTATAGAATTTTTAAATTTTACAATATGGTAGATTGCAAAGACTATTCTTATTATATTAATCTATTATTTTGATTTGTATAGGTCAGCGATGACAAATGCAAACAAATGGTATTAAAGCTTATCGTGTTAGAGTCGGAAATTTTTTGATTCATATAGTCCAACCAAACCATTGAAGATTTTGGTCTGTATCAGATCACATCGGAATGTGATATGATAACTAGAAAGTCAGAAAAGGATATTAGCTTTATTATTTATTTATTTTTTTTTAAAGAAAAATTGAAAGACGTTGGCTAATGGCAAATACCATACCAGAAATGGTTGGGATCTAAAGTGAATTGTAATGCTTTTGCTTTGTAAATAAGGAACATCAACATCTAGCTTCTCATGCTACTTGTTTGTGATGGATAGTTGATCACATTCAATGTTTCAGAAGATTTATGGCGGAAGTGAAGCTCATAATATTTGCTGAGAACAACTTTATGCTTAAAGTTTTGTTAAAGGAGATGGATCTGAGTTGAAGACGTTTCTAATAAAGGAAGGAAACTTTTAATTATAAAAATTTGAGATTAACATAAAAATAAAATGAAGAAAAAATAAGTGAAAGAAAAAGAAAAACATGATATTATATAATTTAAAATAATATTAAGATGTGCTATGATATATCAAGAACCTTAATTTAAGATATACAAATTTTTGTAGGTTTTGTACATTTATTTATTTTTAATTTTTTTTTCTTTCATATAGGCAATATTATTTATAAAGTGATGGCGTATATAATATAAAATAATAATAATTAATTAAAAAAATTTACTAATAAATTATAATTACTATCAAAATTTTAAAATTAATTAATTGATAAATTAATTTTTTTAATGACATAACATTTTTTATACAATTAAATCAATTATTATATAATTTGATTTAATTTTTTTATAAAAAAATAATTAAATTAAATATTAATATTTATTATTTTATAAAAAAAATTAAACTTTAAAACTGGATTCATTTCACCTGTCACCCTCATTGAACAGCGTGGCGCCACACGGGGGGCTTGCAATTCCCCCTTTCTTTTATATAAAATCAATAATTTCGTGATTTCATCGTATTTACGAGTACCCTTTTTATACTGTTCGTTTTCTTCTCTTTCTTAATTGACTGTTACGTCGGATGAGGAAATGGGGCAGCTTGTTCTTGGCACCAAATTGTCATGTGTTGCGTCTCAATATGAAAAACTATTTTTTTATGGGTATAAGTTATAATTCGTAATTTCGTATCATCTTCTAGTACATGCCAGCCTGTCAATATATTATAAATCAATTATTAAATAAAATTACAAATTAAACAAAATGAACATAGAGTTAGGCAACGATATAATCATAATTTATTTTATATAATTTTTATATATAATTTAATGAATAAATGTATTTAATGTTATAAATTTTAAATAAATAAAAAATTTAATTATTTAATTAATATATATAATTATATTGAAAATAATAATAATAATTACCTCTAAATTATTTTCTTAAAATTAAACACGAGAAACCACAATTTCTATTATAGCCATAAGGTCAAGACTCCATTAATAAAAACCAATTATAAGGTGAGGGTGACAACTAAGAACTCGTCATCCATGACTTAACATTAATTTCTTATCAGAAGTGAACTTGCATTTCTAAGTCAATGTGCCATAATAATTTCAAGACCCTAACTAGAGAACAACCATGTTTTGGATAGATATCTTCAGCAGGAAGAGACCAAAAAAAAAACCATGCGGTTATGTAGACAAGTGTAAGAACTGGATTTACATGCAACTTAATCAATTAAAGGCATTGAGATCATCAGCAGATTTGTATAAGAGACAGGTGCCAACTAAGTATTTGACCGTGACAGTTTTGCTTTGACTGTACGCTCTTGGCTTATCCGGTCTACGTTTTGACCGGCTTTGCTGTGGCTGCTATAGAGACACGCCAATCCGACATCGCCACGTGACTCTGAGAAGAGTGACTCTAAGCCCCGGGGATACCCCTCCCCATTTTCTCTGACACTCTAATCCATTATTATTAAATAAATTACCAATTCATTTGTTTAACAATAGATGGGATGTAACTAGGGAGTATTTTGCTGGGGCAGTTTCTGGCTATGCTCATGGAGAGACGCAAATTTGTTAGGATTATATGGTTTTTCTCTGTTTTATTAATTTATAATTTTTTAATAAATATTTTAATTTTAATAATTAAAAAAAAAAAAAACAAAAAATGCCACAATAACGAAACCCTTTAACATGAGATGTAAACTTTTATCGAGTGTGACATTATGTGGATACATAAATTGTGAGAGCACATCATAAATCTTCAGAAGATAGAAAGGACAGCACCTGATCTTTCGGGTTAGTGTTACTAGTCGCATTAAATAGATACATTTTTTTTTTATCTGGGGTGGATTCGATATTGTTTCATGTCAAATTATTCTAAAAGAAAAAAAAAAGGACAAGACAGTCATTTGAACGAGAGGAATAAATGGAGCAAGAAAGCGAAAAGGCTGGTCCAAATGCAGTGTAGTCCACACAACCCCCACGGGCACGGGCACTGCGAAAGTCGGTCTCAAGGTTTTTATTTTTATTTTTATTTTTAACCCAAACCCACGTCTCGATTTTACAAATCGAATATTTCCAGACACTATTTTTATATTTTACTGAAAGCAAAACCCTTTTACTATTTTGTTTTATTTCTTTTATGATACTTTATTTTGTTTATCATACTGAAAAAAAAAGTCGAATTTGAGAAAAAAAATTTTATCTATATGGTAGGCACGGGTTAAGTATTTATAAAAATAATTA